CTGCCGTAGGCGCGCCTCTCGCAGGTGATTAGAAAATATCGATTCTCATGCCCAGAGGGGATGTTACGCGACAATATATCGGAACGTTGTTGTGCAACAGCGATATAAATCACGAACGTTTCATATTATTACACTTTACGATAGAGTGATCGATCGTGATACATTTCAATGTTGAATCAAAAGTCAGCGGCAACTAATGCCGTTTCGATCGTGTAATTAATTAGCATCGATCTCGAGACGAGATACAGATCGCGGAATAAATTTCATGAGATACTTTCATAAATTGAGAATACAGATAAGATAAGACGACGATGGATAAGTACACGCTTGAAAGTCGTCTAATCTATTTTTACAAGTGTAAGTAATTTCGTATGTTTCAACGTGTTAATCAGTATTATACGATAAAAAGACGCGTCGGTCCAATTTGTTTAGGTATCTTTATGGATGCAACCGGAAGCTACGACGCCTCGTTTTACCTGTCTGGTAGCTTGATCTTTCTGTCGGCTGTGATCTGTTACCCCTTGAAGAGAATCAACGTGTGGGAGACTAAAAAGAACGGCGACAAATGCAGCGACGATCCATCCTAGTCCTGGTCGACGTCGAGCGCAAGACAGGACGCCGAAGACTGAAGTCTATCACGTATTCTCGTTGTCGGCCACCGTGTGTGTTTGTACATACTAACGCGTAAATAATTTATAACACGACTGCTCGAATCGATAATTAATCCGTGTGGTGGCATCAGGACCAGCGTGATCATCGCAGCTATGAGAACACGTGGCAAAGGGGCTCGTCCGTGTTCCATCTTCGAACTCGGTCGATCTTTGGAACTAAAACGGTCTATCGAGACGTTCAGGAGAGTGCAACTGACGATTCCATGGTCAGAGGAATACCGTCCAGAGTATAAAGATTCTGTCCAAATCTGAGGTCGAGCTTTGTATTCCCATGAAACGTCGGAGTGCTCTTTTCGTATTCCGAGTAGCGCGTGAACATGTCGCGAACTCGCTGTCAGCTTTTACGCTGTTTTTAATCACCGACGTGCCTTCTCGTATCTTACAACGGATGGTTGGGAGTCGTGAGATAGTTTTCTAGATCGTTCGATGACGGAAGATATGTGTTCGTTGTTACGTGCCTTGCGTTTTCATAAAGAGATTTTACTCGAAGGTTCCCACGTAATTCATTGCGATGCTTTATAATTGATAATTCGCCGATCTCCTGTTAATTTACAGGGATTGCAAGGATTTTAGAATGTAAGGAAGACGTTTGTATATCAACACGCGCCTCCGGAAGAACGGATTATTGCTTTACTCCTATGTACTATGTTCTATTTGATGCAGCTTCGCTACGATTCTATACTGTCAAAAATCTTATTTATAGCGCGATATCGTAAATACGATCGTATACACTTATTTCCTTATTGCGATGCTGCAGACGGGAATAATTACGCTGCTTTATCTATTGTACATCTTGCATCGTTTCGAGAGGAATGCGCATGGAACGTTTGTATCTCTAGGAAGATTGGCGCGCGAAGGCGAAGTGAATATTCTCGTTAAATCGATCGATCACGCCTTCCACTTCCGCGAATATCTTATAAAACGCGTTTCTATAATGAATAAGCAACACACTGTTACACGCGAAGGCGTATGTACTTGCATAAACGAGTACACGTAATCTAGATAGATCGTGCATCCGTTCTGGTGCAATGCTATTTATAGAGTTAATTAATCACTAAACCGACATCCGGCAGCGTGGTTCCGGATGTTCGGCTCACCACTAGGTGTTTAAGGATTTGCTCAAAAATGAAATCCGTTCCTATTGTTCCTAATTAATTATCTACTCTAGCATTTTTCTTTGTGTTTCCTTTTTTGTTTTTGTTTCCTTAGAATTATTCGATGCGCTTCGTGACGATGTAGCGTTGCATCGTTCCGCGGAGGATCGATCATTTCATTACTTAAGAATGTATTTAACAGTGCCGCGAAAGATAACGTTCGTCGAAGAAGGTACAAAAATATTGTACCAAGTGTACCGCAGCAGATAAATGTGTGAAAAAATTCAGTCGCAGCTAGCATTTCGAAACACAATGGAAGAACGTATAATCCGTTTTTAAACTAAAGACCATCTTACCTGTTACGATACACACCCCGTTTCCAATCTACGAAGTACGAACGAAAAGTCGATATTGTTCAGAGTGCGTACGACGCGCGTGATGCCAGTGATCCGAATCGAACACGCGATACAACCTACGGTACGAAACAATCGGAAAAGAAAATATCGGAGAAGAAGAAAAACACGCGTGGATGTATTTTCCGATCGCGATATTTTCCTAACTTTCTAAGCTACCCTCTCCCCTCGCCAAACCGTTTTCTACGCGAGATTCGAC